TACAAATAAATAAAGATATTGTGTCCACCTAAAACAAAAAAAAATTTTAAAAAATTCTTTTACGTGCACATGCCACTTTTTCACATGGCCAGCCCTATAACATAGCCCTTCTGTTTGGGTTGTGTTTTCCAGACTAAGAAAGCCATTGGCCTGTTTTGGAAGGCAGGTCCTTGCCCAAAATCTGTCCTTAAGAATAGCAGCTATTGTGGTATTACAGCTGTGTCCCCAGCATGAGTACCCAGGTAGCAATGGCTCCCCTCATCCCCTGCTAAGCAGAGACTTCTCTTTTCTCTTCAGGTACTGTCCCAATTGTAAGAAGCACCAGCAGGCCACAAAGAAGTTTGACCTGTGGTCCTTGCCCAAGATCCTGGTAGTCCATCTCAAACGTTTCTCCTACAACAGATACTGGAGGGATAAGCTTGATACAGTTGTGGAATTCCCAGTCAGGTGAATCCCTATGACTGAAGTGTTAGGAAAAATTTAGAAACAGGCAGGAAATATGGACATTGATTTGCTGAGAGGTTTGTTACCAAAGACTTTTCTGAATTAGGATGTATGTTGTTGGGCTTTGGGAGGTAGACTTTGATTGTAGTAATTGCTCCCCTCCCTATCCTCCCATGGGGAAGAGACTCCAGTAGAAGCCCTTCCCTAGACTCGGGGGGCTGCTAATTCTCTTGTTATTCTTGGTCCCCCTCTCAAATCCCTGATGCCACTTAACTGGCCTTTCCCAGTCCATCATTGGTCCCAAGGAGCCTGGCCTCAGCAGTGGCAGTACAGCACAGTGGTACCTCTATTAACAGGGGCAAGGTGGTCAGAGGGCAATCTGCAGAGAGACCTGGATGATTGTTGGGGCTTCAGGTAGGGTGCAGACCTGCTACAGTCCTGTTTCTGAGGTAGCAGCTGGGACTAACTATCTTCTCAGGTCCCCTCAGGACCCAGGTTATTGACTGTAACTAAGACAGGAAAGCAAGCCAACCAGATAGGTTAAAAATGCTTTCTGGAGGGAAAGGGTAGGGTAGGTCCTTAAAATATAGGAACAATGTCCTTGTGAGAATCTAGTGGTGGGTAATGAGTATTTGTTGTAAAATTCTTTTCTTATCTTTACTTGAAAATTTCAGAATGAAGTGTTTTAAGTCCATGCATGGTAAACACATGCCTGTAGTCCCAGCTTCTCAGGAGACTGAGGTGGGAGGATTATTTGAGCCTAGGAGTTACACCAGCGTGGGCAACATAGCAAGACCCTATCTGAAAAACAGAATAAGATGTTGTAGGAAAAAAGCTTTCTGAGGACTGTTTTGGTATTTGGTTTAAATGACTATGGCACCAATTGTAATTCTGTTATTAATAACCACTTCTTCCTAGTTGCTGAAGTCCTCTTGTCTATCTCCAAACCCTCACCTTCCATTTGGTCTGGTGGCAGTTACCCAGGAGGCTTCTCTTAATTTCTGGCCTGAATGTGTCAGTGGTCAGAGCACAAAGTCCAGGGCTCCTCTGCCATAGTCTTTTCATTTATTTCTTCTCTCTTTCTCTCTCTCTCTTTTTTTGGGGGGGTTGGGTGGGCTGGGGGAGGGGTTCCGGGAATTGAACTAAGGGCACTCAACCACTGAGCTACATCCGCAGTACTGTTTTTGTATTATATTTAAAGACAGGGTCTCACTGAGTTTCTTAGTGCCTCACTGTTGCTGAGGCTGACTTTGAACTCTTCAGCCTCCTGAGTCCCCTGGGGTTACAGGCATGCAGTACCACGCCTGGCTATTTCTTGTCAAATAGTTTTTTTGAGTGCCTGTCTTATGTTCTGGCCAGTTAGATGAAAGAGGTTGCTGGGCTGCTCTGACTTCTTTTTCGGAGTTTAAAATATTTAAGAGCTATTCTTGTGTTTTGTTCTTAGAGCTCTGAACATGTCTGAGTTTGTCTGTGACTTGTCAGCAAGGCCTTACGTGTATGACCTCATTGCTGTGTCCAATCACTATGGAGCCATGGGGGTTGGCCACTGTAAGTATTGGTAGCTGCTTTCTTCTGAGGTGTTGGCTTGTGCAGTTCTGCAAGCTTTACGCTACATGCTTTTTCAACACCATTGCTTCACCATGCTTTTTGTTTTGTTTTAAAATTCTTAATTTTTTTTTTTTTTAATATTTATTTTTTAGTTATCGGCGGACACAACATCTTTGTATGTGGTGCTGAGGTTTGAACCCGGGCCGCACGCATGCCAGGCGAGCGTGCTACCGCTTGAGCAACATCCCCAGCCCAAATTCTTAATTCTTTAATTCAGTAACTCTTGTTTCTGGGAATTTATCCTAAGGAACTGATTTGACATTAGAGAAAGCTTTACACCCAAAGATGTTCATCTCTTTATAACAGTGAAAAGTTAATAGCTGCCTTGGTGATCAACAGTTGGCACTGTTGTCCACTCATAGCCATTTCAAAATAAAATTAATAGCATGGGGGAAATGGACTGTGTACATGAAAACTGCTACATAAAATTATATCCTTACAAAAGGTGGAATCACAACTATGTGAAGTTAAAAAACAAAATGTTGTTGGGGGTTGAGACTGGAAGGAGAGACACTGAATTGTTTATCCCCCCTCCTTTTTTTTTGCTTTACTTTATGTCTCAAAAAATTTTTTAAAAATATTTTTTAGTTGCTGATGGACCTGTATTTTATTTATTTGTATGTGTTGCTGAGAATCTATCCCAGTGACTCACGCATGCCAGGCAAGCATGCTACCACTGAGCCACACCCAGCCCTATGTCTCAAAATTTCTATAACATGTAGGTTTAGTTTTAAAATTAAATTTATGTTTTCTTACTTGTTTATGGGAAGTGCTACTGAAATAGAAGTGAAGAATTGGATTTCCTTACATTTCTGTCTACTACATGTGCATTGGGCCTGCTGCCAACACACCCAGTATTAGGTCCCCAAGACATGATTCCTTGGAAAGGGTCAGTTCCATTTATACTTATACTAGATTACAGAACTGCCCTGATCTTTTAAATTTTCTCCCTGTACTAATAAGATATAGAAATTGGCCTGAAAGTCTGCTCTTTCATCTCAGTAGTAGTAGTAGTAGTAGTAGTAATAATAATACTGGAGATTGTACCCAGAAATACTTTACCCACTGAGTTATATCCCCTATCCTTTTTGTTCTGTTTTGAAGGAGGGTCTTACTAACTTGCTGAGGCAGGCCTGAAACTTGAAATCCTTCTGCCTTAGTCTCCCAAATAGCTGGGATTATAGCATGTGCCACTGCTCCTAGCCTGGCCCTCCATTCTTACCATATCACCTTCTAGCTTCAAATGCCTGCTCAGTCTCCAGCCCTCATGTTTGCATTCTATTCCATCAGAAGGTGGGGTGGGGAGGAAAGGCAGATATCCCAGAACCCCCATCAACTCTTCTACATACATTTCATTGAGTATAACTGAGCCATACAGCTCCATATAGTGTAGGAGAGGCTGGGAAAATAAAATTTCGCATGTTTGAAAATCGGGCCCTGTCAGTAATTTTTAAACTTTATTTTATTAGTTTACTTTTTTATGTGATGCTGAGGATTAAACCCTGTGCCTCACACGTGCTAGGCAAGCACTTTACCACTTGAACCACAACCCCAGCTCCATCCATTAGTAATTTTTGATCATGTTATATATCCTGCTGTTCTATAACTTGCTATTTTTCCTTACAATTAATTTTGACATCTGCTTAAGTTTCTCTGTTCAAATGTATTCATTTTTAATGCTATTTAAAAAAACAAAAGACACAAACTGTAAACTATTTTTAATTTCAGGGCTATTTATTTATTTAGTGCAAGCCTAGTAAACTAGCCAGTTGACTCTTTAGTATTTTGTTTATTACTTGACAGACACTGCATATGCAAAAAACAAACTAAATGGGAAATGGTATTACTTTGATGATAGCAACGTGTCCCTGGCCTCTGAGGACCAAATTGTGGTGAGTATGCTGACTGGATTGATTCTGTCTCTGGACTTAATGGATTAAAGCTGAGAAGGGTAGCTCTCAGGCTTGTTGGTTACCTAATCATTCTCATGTGACAGGGGGAGCTGGATGTGGTAGAGTTGACCTGCCCTTTGTTTAGGATCCTTTCTAAAGGAAAAGCTCAACTTTCCTCAAGGCTCTATGCCATAGGGTACCCACCATTCCCCACTGGCCTGGCAGGAGCCAGCCTCAGGTAATAGTCCCTTCTTAGTCATCTCTGTATGGATATCCAGAGCAAGATGGTTGATCTTTGAGAGTGTTGAATAGTGAGAAATAACCTGGGGCAATGGGTAATTTTACCAACCAGTAGATGGATTCTCCCCTCTTGTGTTTCAGACAAAAGCCGCTTATGTGCTGTTCTACCAGCGACGGGATGATGAGTGTTATAAGACACCTTCACTCATCAATTTTCCTGGTTCTTCTGATGGAGGGACCAGGCCAAGCAGCTCACAGCAAGGTTTGGGGGATGATGAGGCTTGCAGCATGGATACCAACTGATGCTGACTCAGCGACCCTGCCTCCCCACAGAACCCAGCATCCCCCAGGAGAATGTCTTTGGCACTTGGAAAACTGCTTGTGTTCAATTTAAAAAGCCAGATGAGGAAATTCCCTTCTTTTTTTGAGCAGAAGACAAAAAAAGACCCTGTTTGCTCAGAAGGATTGTCAAGAGCCTGAATTATTTTTCTTTTTAAACAGGTGGTGAGATAAAGCCTGTGGAACTGAAAGTGGGGGGTGGGTGGGGGTGCACAATGGAGTATGTCTGATGGATTTCAAAGAATGGAGACAAACACACTGTAATTGAATATGGTGCAGCCATGAAGACCCACTTGCAGGGCTGCTGTGAGCTCCTGGATATCTAGTTCTGGTACCCATACTGGTCACCCCAGTAGTCTGGCCACAGTAAACCGAGCCTCAAGTAAACTTGATGTTGTCCATTTGTCCTTTGCTGTTCCCTGAGATGGGTTTATAATTTTCTAAAATTAGCACTGAAGCCCATTTGTTTCTCCTTTGAGTCGTTTTGGAATTTCCAGCTTTCCTTCTGATAATCAAATGAAAATACTTAGTATTGAGGTCTCTCAACCTCCTGTGGAACCTAGCAGTTATGTTTTGTCCCCCACTATCTTTGATGAATTGAGACAGATTCTGTGTGGAACTTTTATCAGACACCCCTTAAAGAAGTCTATTCACAAAACTGCCCAGTACAGTATCCAGTTGTTTGTCTATGTTGACTTGAGAACAGAACCTTCATGGGAATTTGTTAAGCCTGGAAAAGGGCTCTCATTCAGTGGTTTTGGGTAATGCATTTTCATAATAGGCCTTTCCAGACCTGGTTTTCTCCCTGACCCTGCTGGAAACCCCACAACTGGCCGCTTGCCCCCATTCTGGTGCCCTACATTATCCTGCCTCCCTCTGTATACCAGGCCTTTGCTGCTCCTGCTGGCCACGAAGGTTTAAAGAACATTATAGTCCGGGCTTTTTTGTCTGACCTTTAACCTAATCTGTGGGGGTTGGTACCGCCCGCTTCGGGCACGCGCGGGTCGGGCTCGCGCGGTCCAGCTCGCGCAGTGACCGTTGAGGGCTGTGGTGTTTCCGTGCTGCTCGGTGAGGATAGGGCTGGAGCTTCTGAGTCCCATGGCCTGTTGGAGCAGGGGCAGGGCAAACGGGTGGGCTATGGTAGCATAGACTTGGGGGAGAAGTGTGGGAGGCTGGGGAAAGTGTGACAGAGCCATGGCAGGAGGGAGGAGGAGCTGGTGGGGGTCTTCCCACTCGGTCCTATAGCCTGGGATAACCCCAAGGAAGGTGTGGCAAGTTCCCCTTTCAGGCTGATTGGCAGCAGCCTCTGTACCCTCATTCTCATGTTACTCTGTGCATTTCCAATGTATTACATAATAAAGACATGGTCCCTTTTAGGGAAAATGTCTGAAAAACTAAGAAGATGCAGAAAGGAGCTGACCGCAGCCATTGACCGGGCCTTTGAAGGAGTCAGTCATTCCCAGGAGTGCACAGGCCTGCAGAAGCTAGAGCCAGGTGCCACATCGCTTTCCTTCTCCCTACCTATGCACAGGCTTCTCTGTAGAGGACACCCTCTGGCAGCCTGCTCCTCTACTGCCCTGTTTGCTGCTGCCCCTTGTGCTTCTGAGAAGGAGAACCCTGCCTTTGTGCCATACCACGTCCCTGTTAATGCAAAACCACATGCTTTATGCCCCAAAAGAAAACCTCTGGCCAGCAAGGAAAATGTGTTGATGCACCCCTCCATTTTGGCACCTGAAAGACCGTTTTGGAGAGCTGCAGGAGATGGGGAAAACTGGAGAAAAGAAAGTTTAAGGTGATTCTGATTTGATAGTTTAATAATTACAATTAAGAAGATTCTTGTTTCTGAAAAAATTGTTGAAGATCCTAGAGTCAATTCATGCCTCCTCTTCGGATCTGCAGGACTGTTTGGGAAGCCCACAAAATATTCTCTAGAATTTAGCCCAGAAAACAAGTTATATGTGTATGTGTTTGGGTTGAGGGCCTGGGTTGTCAATTCTGGATGTTAAACCAGTCATGGAAACGACTTTGCAGTACTCAAAGGAGTAATGAATGTTAACATTTTTTTAAATGACCTCATTTTTTTTATGCTGCAGAAACAAAAATCTTAATCCTAAATTTTTTTTTAATTCCATCTTGTGTTTGAACTTGGGGTACTGGAACCTTTGATACCTTCCTTTGTCTACATTAGGGAGAAGTTGAATCAAAGGCCCTACTGGGCCCTACTTCCTAGTATTGTCCTTGCTTCTGCTCCCCTCCACTACCCTGAAGTCTTTGAACTGTCACCAGGTTAAGTCTCCCCTAGATCTCTCAAACTGCCTGGTCCCAAGCACCTTGACTTTGAGCAGGGCTAACCATATATGCTGGGTTCAGTGGCATAAACCTGTAATCCCAGCAAGTTGGGAGGCTGAGGCAGGAAAATTGTACAAATTCAAGGCCAGCCTGGACAATTTAGCAAGATACTGTTTCAAAAAATTCAAAAGACTGGCAATGTTGCTCAGTGGTAGCACACCCCTGGGATCAGTACCCAGTACTGAAAGGGTGGAAAAAAAGTCCTGCCATCTTGGCTGCCCAGTGGAATAAAAGCTAAACTCCTCAAGTATTTATATTGATGTTCATAAGCATTAATGCAGCCTGTGATGCTTATGAGTCATTATGATAATGCTATTAGTCAATTTCTTCACTGATTAACAGATTGATTACTCTGTAATCACAGCATAAATGACAATTTAAAGTCAACAGTAATCTAACATTTTCCCCTCCAATATTTTCTTGAAAGAGGATCTAATTCCCCACCTTTCCCCCCCCCCTTCCTGGGGCTACAGGAAAGATATGGAGAGAGATTTGAAAGTTGACTCAAACATGCCTCTCAACAATTCTAGCCAAGAAGTCACAAAGGATCTGCTGGATATGATTGGTGAGTACAGAGGGTTGGGCCATCGTCTTCTTGGGAGAATAGGTCCTTTATGCAGGCAGAGGGCCCATATGTCTTAGAGGGGGTTTGGTGATAAGAACTTTTTATTTTCCATATTTGGTGGATTTGTTCTACTCACAATAGACTCTGCATAGAGCAGCAAATTAGTCAAACTCTGTTCCTTTCTTCACAGAACTGATAACCTAGTGAGGTCACGCATCAATCAGGTCATTTCATAAATGTCTAATTATAGTGAGTCCCCGAAAGCAAAGGATGCCAGCCTCCATGACTTGGTCCTTGAGCTTAGATCCGAAGTAAACAGGACATAGGCAAAGAGGAAGAGAGAGGGGCTGGGGATATGGCTCAGTGGTAGAGCACTTGCTTGGCACATGTAAGATACTGGGTTTGTCCCCAGCACCACATAAAAATAAATAAATGAAAATAAAGGTATTGTGTCCATTTACAACTAAAAATTTAAAGAAAGGAGGAGGAAGAGAGAGGAGTCCAGCTGAGTAAAAAAAGAAGATTTAATGCCCAAAGCTCTCCTGTACTTCCCCCCACCCAGAGGGAGTCACTGTTAACATAATAGTATACAGTTTGTCAGACACTGGGTATTGAAACCAAGAGTACTTTACCACTGAGCTATGTCCCCGGTCCTTTTATTTTTTAATTTTGAGACAGGGTCTCTACATTGCCAAGGAAGGATCTCACTGAATTTCTGAGACTGATTTTGACCTTTGCCATACTTCTTCTTCAACCTCTTTTGAGTTGCTGGGATTATAGACATGTGCCACTGTGCCTGGCTGTATGACTTTTTAAATGATTCATATTACACAGTGGACAAATAGTTCTAGTTAAGGGGTGTATAGTCTTGAGTGCTGCTTGAAGCTGGTCTCCAAGTTATGAAGGATGGGAGGAAAGCCTGACAGAGGGGTGGTACTCACCTTAGGCTATAAAACCTCGGCCAGCCTATGACTTAGTGGACTAGTCTCCTACAGTAGCCCCAGGAGATAACTGAAATTATCACTGCCTCTGCCTGCCATCTCCTTGGCCCTCACCAGCAGCAGGCAGCATTTTGATTCCCCTGAAGACCTTTTTTGTTTCACACCATGTCTTTTCATCTGAATTAGGGAGTTCCCCGAGAGCCAAGACAAGTGTGTGCATTTCTGTGTCTTTCCACTTATAACTTAGGAACTGGCAGATAGTTAGGGATGGATAAACATTTGTGTCTGAAAGGAATACACCAAGCCCACCTTACTTTGGCATTCAGTCTGGCAACCTGTCTGCCCTGGGGTAAGAATGCCCAGCTCTGCCCAATCTCTCACACTTGTGGTTTTTAACTGGTACCTGAAATGTCTTTAGAAACCTCTCCTTGGAATTGTAAAGCTGAGTGTTCTTATCTTTAAGACCATACAAGCATCCGAACTATTGAAGAATTGGCTGGAAAACTAGAATTTGAAAATGAATTAAACCGTGTGTGTGGTCACTGCCAAGATTCACCCTTCAAGGAGGAAGCCTGGGCCCTGCTTGTGGACGAGAGCCCTCAGAAGTCCTCAGATGTAGACACTGGCAGCCTTAAGCAGGCTTTCGATGATCAGAATATTATCGAGACTGTTCTGGATTTGGAAGAGGACTACAACTTGATGACCTCTTTTAAATACCAAATTGAGTAAGGAGAGTTGCTTTTAGCTTTGATTCTTTACAGTAGAGGCTGCCATCAGGTACTCTATGCAGAAGCAGCCACAGTGATCATCAGGAGCTGCATTTTCAGAGGGCCGGCAGAAGCTGAATTACCACACCCTTTTTTTTAACTTCAGTTGTGTCCCTTTTTGGGCTGAGAGCCCAGTTTTTGTATTCTGTTGCTTTGAGATATTTCATATTGTTATATATATATATTTTTACTCAGTGTTTTGTTTTTGATTAATACTCAGTATACCTAGTCCTGAAGGTAGGTATGGGTTGTATCTCTGTTGCATCTCTTGGTATTCTTTTGCCTGGGCCCTTGAAAAAGTATGGGAGCTATAACCAGAATGGGCTTTGTGCAACCCCTGGTACCAGCCCACCCCTAGGCCAGCTCAGCCTATGCAGAAAAATCCACAACAAACTAGACTTTGGTGTGGATGCTCTGATCCCCTTACATATTTGGCTCCCCTTGCACACATAGCTCCCTGTTTCTTACATATGCCCCATGGCCTCTTCATGTCCCAAACTACCTGCTCAGTTCAGAGAGTAGCCTCTGCAGAGGTTTCTTTCTGGCGTCAGAGTTGCTGGCAGATTCCCTCCTAACAGGACGTTCCCATGAGGCCTCCCTACCATGTACCCCCACACAGACACCTGGGCCCCAGATGAGGGTAGGAGGAGAGGGATAGATACAGGATCTGTACCTACATCTCATCCATCCATCCCTCTGCAGGTCTGGCTGCCATGGGTGGATTCCATGGCAGTGACCCTGCTGGGCCAAGACAGGGCAGTGAATGAAGGAGGGGCCAGGCTCCTGCACTCCCGAGGTCAGCCTAACAGCAAAAGCATAGCAGGGCTGAACTCCGATGCCACCCCTAGAAAAAAAAGACATCACCAGAAACTATTTGCACAAAATTTCAAAACCATGTCGTCTTCTCAGGAAAACTAATAAACTGTTGGGCAAGTTTTTATATTTCCCAGAAACCGAGTCTCAGGGACATGCCTATCTTCCCAGCTAATAAGGGAAGATGGGACTGGGGAGGCTGGCACTGTGTTGAACAGATCAGAACTTGGGAAAAGGCCGGTGGCTGAGTTACTGCCCACTAAGGGAAGATGGGACTGGGGAGGCTGACACTGTGTTGAACAGATCAGAACTTGGGAAAAGGCCGGTGGCTGAGTAACTGCCCACTAAGTCAGCTTCTAGGCCAGTGACCCTGGAATAGGTCTAATTAGTAGACTACAGTCACATACTTTCACCACAAATCTGGTGATTCTTTGGGCGTGAAGGCAGAGATCACAGACACACTAATCACTCCTTAGTAGAGTTTAGCCCAGCACCTGACTGTACCCTTAAAACTATGGTGCAGCTGGACTCTGGCCACTTTGTACTTTTGGCCTCCCTAGTGGGTGTTCATTTGTTGCCACCCACTTATAGCCACTGGCACTGCCTTGCTTGGGGCAGGAGAAGAGGACAGGCTAGCTAACCAGAGGCTCTTCTTAGGCTACTTGCCACTCAGTGCCTACAGAAGGCAGCATGCTCAATAAGCACTCACAGCCTGTGGAGTTGGAGGTCAGGTTCTTAGTGCTCACAGCATGCTTGGCTGCCCTTGCTTAGGTGATCTGAATAGATGTCAGGCCATTTAATTTCATAAAAGCAGATCTCAAACCAGCACATATGAACACTCATAGAGGAGGAGGAGCTCAATTACCTTACCCTACCTCCTTACCCCCCTACCACCTCTTATGGTTGAGCTGGACTTAGTGACTTTTTCCCAATGTCTAAAGGAAAGAAAAATCATAAAGGTACAGTAGGAAGCCTGAAGGTACCACCTTAACCAAGTGATTTAACATCAATGGTGTCGTGGATGTCACACATACCCCAACAGGAATGTAAAGAGTGCTTCACCTTATGGTATTCACCAAAACCTATATCCCCAACCAGTGCGTCACCATGAGACAAATGTCATATAACTAAAATTGGAGGACATGCTACAGGATCCCCCTGGCCAGAACTCAAGTCAAGGTCATAGAAAACAAGGACTCAAAAACTCTCACAAATAAGTAGGTATTAAAGAGAGACAATGACTAAACAAAATGTGCAATCCTGGACTGCATCCTAGAACAGAAAGAGGACATTAATAGAAAAACTGACGAAATCCAAATGTCAAAATGTCAATTTCCTAGTTTTGACACACATACCACAGTTTTATAAGATGTTAGCCCTGGTGAAAGGTATATATGAGCTCATATCTTTGTCAATTTTTCTGTAAGTCTAAAATTATTCCAAATTTTTAAATGTTTTTAACAAAAAATTGCAATAGATCCCAGGTCTTTGAGAATATGTATGATCAACACCCTGTTATGAGGGGCAAAAAGGAGTATAGTCTTTTTTGTATTTTCTAATTTATCTCCAACCTGTATCACTTCTGTAAAAAGAAATTAAAGCTTTTTGGTTTTGCTTTTTCATGGTCTAGGGATAAAACCTAGGGTTTCACACAAGCTAAGCTAGTGTTCTACCACTGAGCTCCATTCCCAGCCCTAAAGTTGTTTTTATTAAAATCAACTAGCCATGGGTATCCTCATCAATACCGGTCAGACCCAATCAGCCCAGTATCTATGTACTGGGTAGAAAGTCAGGGGGTCACAACAGGAGGCCTTGGCAACACTGTAACAAGGGGGCTCCCTTCCCTGAGGGTGCTGGATCTTTAGGTTGGGTGCACTAGGATTCACAGAGTAATTTTTTTCTTTTTTTTGTGGGGGGGGGGGGGGGGGGGGGGTACCCGCGAGTTACACCAGGGATTGAACTTGGGAGCACTCAACTGCTGAGCCACATCCCCAGCCCTATTTTGTATTTTATTTAATGACAGGATCTCTAACTCCTCGCCATTGCTGAGGCTAGCTAGCTTTGAACTCACCATCCTCCTGCCTCATCCTCCTGAGCCACTGGGATTACAGGTGTGTGCCACCGCACCCAGCTCTCAAAGCAATTTCTTAGGAGCTCAATTAACTGATTCAGGTCTGATCCATCCCTAGGCAGGGCATTGCAGAGGAGGAAGTGGCTCCTGCTCATGGTGATCAAGATCTAATTATAGAAAACTGCAATGAGAAGATTTGAAAAATTTTTTCTTTCTGCCTAGGGTGGAGATTGTGGCCCTTGGAAATGAGGACCCAACCCAAGGAGGGGGAGGAAGGAGGGTTCAGGCTCTCCCCTGGCCAGAAGACAGGTATACTTCTATTTTAAGAAAGGCTTTATATGAAAATTGCAGATTACCAAATAGGTAATTCATCCTAGGATCCCAGAACAAGGGACTTTTTCTCACTGTAGGAATAGCCTTGGGCCCAGCAGGTTGAAGCATGAGCCTCTGACATGCCAGTCTCCAGATTAGCACTTGGGCTCCTCCTATCCCTATTGACATCCACTCCTGCCATTGCATCCCTAGTTCTCTGATGTGCTCCAAGGAGACCTTCCTACATTTGTCATCCACATCAATATTATGGGCAGATGTGTGCTCAACTTCTCAGAACAGATGTGGGGAGTTCTTCAGGAATTTAACTGGAGCAGAGACAGATGCCTAGAACATATAATTTAATAAAAATTCCTTAAGTTTTCAGGGAGCTGGGACCAAAGCATTCTCAGGGAGATATGATAGTTGACCTTGATCATGTCTGAGAAACTTTTAAATGTATTACATTACTGGCTTCCCTCCCCGCAGTTCATCTTGGCAAGCCAAACAATCACTGAATTGTTTCCTTGGAAACACCAAACTGTAATTTGTATTACCAGAATCAAAATAGAAGCAAGGCAGATTGAAGAATAAATAGGAGCTTTGGAACCTGCAAACTGCAAGTTTAAATTACAGCACAAAGCATATGAGAATCTGGGCCCATCTAAGTCTATGAAGATCCCATGGCCACATCCCACCAATATGTCAAAGTCACTATAAACCAACTTTATTATAAGCAGATTGATAAAATTCGTAAATAAGTAAATACTTAAGGTAGGAGTTTGTAGAGGCTCCTAGAAAGGAAAAGCTGAAGGGCTGGAGGGGAAGGCTGAGGAAGAAATGACACAACAAGAAAAGAGGACAAGGAACAAGGACAGGAATAAGACAAGAATGAAGTCCAGTAGGGGCAGAGAGAGAGACAGTTGAGAGCTGGAAACTATAACCTCGACCTCAGCCTATCCAAATGTCACATGGATCTGTTCTAGACTCAGAACTCTTGCCAGGTAAGCACCAGGACACCATGCCTTTTTCTGTATGCTAGAGAGACAACACCACTGGGCACTGGAACCTATATTCTCATCTCCGAGTCTCAGGATTCCTCTTGCTCTGCCTCCTGCTCCCCTCAGTTGGAGAATGGCCAACCTGCCCTGGCTTGGTGGCATTCTCCTGGACCCTTTCAATCCCAGAGAAGATTCCAAAGGGGTCAGGAGAGCAGACAGTATGGGGGCCTATCCTTTATCTTTGTACCCTGGAATAAACCAATAGAACAGCAACACCATCCTGCTGCCAGTGGACTTGTGAGCCGCTAACATTCCAGAAAGACTTGATGAAGAGGATTTGCAAAAGGGGCCTAACTCAGGTCAATCTCACCTGAAATGGCTAGGCACCTGTCTGTTGTCAGAATGATACTGCTCTGAGTTATAAGATGCTTAATATGGTAGCAAAAAACAATGCAAAGAAGGGGATGCTTGGGAAGCCAGTGCACCTGATCATAATTATTGAAAAGGCTGTGTTGTGTCATCCTGAGACCATTTTAGGTTCTGGCAGTTTGCTTTCTCCTTGGAATTGGTGGGAGAACATTAATATTTAGGTTCTAGCTAAATATTTACAGAAGGAACAAAATTTTACTCAGGAAATCTGACAATGGATCCCAACCCTAATGTGGAAGGACTCTGTCCTAGGCTGTCTGGAAAATGCCTGATTTGATCAAGAATTTTGGCCTAAGGCCTGGTATAAAGAAATTTCAAAACTACCCAAACTTTGTAGGACTCAGTTCACTAATATTTTTGAGGGCAGGGAAGCCATTGTGTTCTGGATATTTGGGTGAGAGAAGTTATTAGGAGAGAGAAATGGACATCTTGCAGAAGACCCCTCATCAGGAGCCCTTTGGAAGCTTCCAGAGGCAAACAAGAAACGCTGGGCGTGGTGGTGCATGCCTGTAATCCCAGCAACTAGGGAGGCTGAGGCAGAGGATCATGAGTTCAAACAGCCTCAGAAATTTAGCAAGGCCCTAAGCAATTCAATAAGAGCTGGGGATGCGGCTCAATGGTCAAGTGCCCTGGCACCAAAAACACAGAAAAGGGGAACTGTAAACAAATGCTATAGAAAGGCTGCACTTTTCAAGGAACTGTTTGCATAAGTACTTATTAAGTGTGTACTAGTGTCAGGCACTCTCCTGAATACTGGGGACACAGCAGGAACAGGGAAGATACTGCTCTTGCTTTTGGAGTTAATATTCTTGTGCAAGGCAAATGAAACACAAATACACAAATTAACACATAAATTTCAGATGGCACGCTGAGACAAAACAGTGTAATGGGAGGTGAGTAGGGAGGTCATGAACAGCTTTTCTGTGGATGACATTTAAATTGATCCTGGAATGTCAATCAGGTGCTGCAGTTAGCTTCATTTTCATTCTTGGTTGTACATGCAGTTGTAACAGAGGGAGGAGCCTGTGGGAGGCTCTCAGGCTCTGGCCCATAGACCGCCCACCTACCACCTCTACCTATGTAGCTAGAAACATATGAAGAGCCAAAAACGATGCATGCTCCAGGGACATGCCTGGGCTGTGTCACGCTCACCAAGTCTGGCAGGAATCACAGAAGTTAATTAAGAAGAAAAAAAGGCCTTAGGAATAAAATTAAGAAACAGAATATCCTTTCCTGATGATCAGCAAAGACAAACAGTGTAATTTTAATTAACCTAGCTTTGTTAGGATATAAGTTTATTGCTCATCCTACAAAAACACCTAACTTGTGGAACACTGAATCACTCCGAACTTTGACTTCATTACACCAAGTGAAATACTTCTGAAGAAATACAGAGTATCATAACTCATAGCAGAATCAAAGAACAGAGTATCCTTCTTTGGCATTTTCAAGTTAGACCCTTCAAGAAGGCCACTGTTGCTGGGCATGGTGACAGAGGCCTGTAATCCCAGCTACTGCAGAGACTAAGGCAGGATTGCAAATTTGAAGGCCAGTTTTGGCAATTTAGCAAGACAGTCTCAAAAAATACAAAAGGCTGGGGATGTAGCTCAGTAGTAGAGAACACCTGGGTCCAATTTTGCAGTACTGGGTGGGGGCAGAAGGACCACAGTCAAAAATACTGATGGTGTTCTCTCATTAGGGTCTCAACTTTGAATTAAAATGACTATATAAAACTGTTCAATTTAGATTATAGGGCCCTCTTAACACTTAATAGGCACCTGTAGTCACTCTGGGAATTGGTGAAACTTGGTGTGGCTGGACTTCTTCCTCCCATACTTTCTTTGCACTAGCAATGAAAATCATCAGGGGAGGCAATGGAATCCACAGAGGGCAGGTGAGCAGACAGCCAGTGTAGCCCACAGGAAGAAGAGGCCAGGGCAGCTTGAGGCAGAACCCATATCTGAACTTCTTGGCCTCAGAAAATTACTGTGATTGACCATGGGTCCCAGTACAGACCACAGGAGGCCCATGGTCTGAAAATGAGAGTGAGAACAGCTTAGGCTGGTGTCTGACACCCATGCCAAGGGTGTCTGTCACAGGCAAATTCAACTCCTCCAAATTTTTATGGGACACACCTCCCTGAAAATAAAGAATAAAAAATCAAGAATGACTGCTTTCTGAAAGTCTTTTGGCAACTCAGTCTGCAACCCAGTGGCCCCGGTGTCACTGAGTTAGGGTTAGGGTTAGGGTTTAAGGTTAGTGTCATTTACACTGGGGCCACTGAGTTGTATTGGAAATGGACAAATCCTTGAAATTTTTCATCCCATGAGGATTTTCACTTTCTTAGAAAATAGGATAAAAAACCAGTTTGAATGGGGTGTTGTTTATTCAAATCATCTATGAGAGCCTTAGAAAATAAAAATATGGTATCTTGTCAATTTGTTTTCTTAAACTTTAGAAAAAATTGAACTGAGGGGTCAGTTCAATAAACTTAATGAAAAAAACACATACTTTTTAAAGGTTTTATATTTTTTATTACAAAAGAAACACAGAAGAAAATCTCATGTATGTGGCTTAGAACTATAGTGCTCTGAACAGTAGTTTTGTGCATATTACCTCTCTTTCGTTGGCAGCCTTAATACTGTTCAGCAGAAGACTGACTTAGTGTGTCCTGTATAATATGCCCACTGGTTAAACAATGAAAATTCTAATATAACTAGATCAAGATAGAAAAAAATCCCAAGGTCTGGAAAGGTATTGATCATGTGCAGGAAATATTTTGAAGATGATAAATATGATGTTTGGGAGTCATGTTGCCACAGTACCAGTTTCATGAGAGCCCCTCTCCTACACAATATTCAAGGAAGCTCTCCCCACTTTCACCAAGTACCCTCTCTCCCAATGCCCCCACCACCAGGCCGTTATTTCATATTTATCACCACTGGAGATCACTGTCTCCAAATTTCTTTCCAATAATTAAGGATGCATTTGTCTGTTATGCCCTTGTCATAGGCAACATCTGATACCCAGAGAGTTGATCCTACCCCTGCCTCCCACTGAGCCCTTCCTAGCAAGGCCTCTCACCCTATCAACCAGTCAAGAATTCTCTAATTTGTCTTTCTACCTGAGCTCAATAAACCAACTGAAGTCACTGTTGGATGGTCAGAAGTCATCATCACTGCTATCAAAACCCAGGTCATAAAGCAAATTCTTCCCTGTCTCCTTGCATGGAGGAGACTCTGAATTTCCAAGGTTGAGGTCACTGAACCAGCGCATTTGGTGGTCCCCCTGGGAGCTACTGGAATGCAGATCTTTGTTTTGGGAAGAACATTCAGGAAACTTTGAGAGGCTCCCTTGCACTGCTGGTGCTATTTTACTGGACTTGACAGTTCCTCCCAGAACATGGCAGACTGATTTTGTGGAGCTTCTGGGACCCCGCAGATGCAGAGGCTGAGCAAGGGGTTCCTGCTGCTCCGTAGGGGGAATTCGTTCATCAGAAACTGGAGACTGGGGATTCTGATATTTATAACTGAAAATACAGGTCTTACTTGGGGTTTGTTCTCTCTTCCTTGCAAACCTGCCTCTCTGGGTTTTCCTGGTCGGCTGCCTTTTGCATTTCCTCCCTCTTTCTACAGTCCTGCCTTTCTGTTCAGTTTCCAACTGTTCACTAGGGGCACAAGAGAATATGCTTTTTGCTTGATATTCTGGGCAGAGATTCTTAATGCTCATTGCAAAGTTGTGTAAATCCAGGGATATGAGCTGTGAAGTTCCTTGGTAAAGCAGGTCACTGTCACCAAGAACTTTATAGCCTGGGATTCTGGAGCCATGGTTCTTGGAATCTGCTTTAGTAATTGCCCAATTTTTGCAATTAGTCTGTACTGACTTGTCCTTTACATGCTCATTTCTTTTACAAGGCCAAAGGGCTGGCAGTGCAACCTCTTTCTGGAGAGCATCACCCTTTGCTTCCTTACCCATGATACCAAATTCCCTAGTCACTAGGGAGCCTGTACTTGGGTTTCCTGCAGCAGTGTGAGCCTGGGCCTGCCACATAACCAGCTCCTCAGAGGCATATTTTTCCTGCCTGGTGAAATTGAGGCTCTGGGTCAGACTTGGTGAAGTCTGAGAAGTGTTGTCTTTCACATGCTCAGGTATCTGAGGCACCAAGATCAATCTCTTCAGTTCTGCTAGGACACTGGGCACATTCAGCTTGTGTAGCTGTTCACACAGTTGCTGGAAGTCCTTACTCTGCTGGGCAACTAAAACTTCCAGGTTCTCCAGGTTGGATTTCATTTCTATAAACTCTGCTTGTCTCTGGGGAAAAGCAGTGAGAAAAAGAGAGTGATGGAATATAAGTCAGAGTGCACAATAAAATGTGAGAACAAACCACTGGACAAAGTCATGTCCCTTTCAGGGTACCTCACAGGGTAAGGATAACTATACTCTGGAGCAGGGTCCTGGGCCCTACATCCTACCAAGGAACCCTGGGGAAGGAAAATAGCCTATACCCAAGTTCTTTTCTAAAAGGCTTGTGCAGACCTCTGGTCTTTGCTGAAATTTCACAACTTTTTTTTTTAAAGTTTTTAGTTGTAGCCACATCCCCAGCCCTATTTTGTATTTTACATAAAAACAAATAAATAAAATACCTTTATTTTATTTGTTTTTATGTGGTGCTGAGGATTGAACCCAGAGCCTTGCATGTGCTAGGTGAGTACTCTACTGCTGAGCCACAACCCCAGCCCAAAATTTCACAACTTTAAAGGTAATTCTCTGAGTCTTAGTGAAAAGGTTGGGGTTTATACTTACAGTTTCAAATTTCTTCTGTATCTCAAGAATAGCTTGCTCCACATTGCTTTTCTCTTGCACTGCCTCAAATATCAGGTCACTCTGGGACCGTGCAGTATCTTGCACTAAATACAAAAAAATGACAGTTCACCACATGACGACTGTGGTATACACCTCCTGCCCACACTGACATGGACTATTGAACCTTCTCTTCTAGCACTCAGGAGACTCTGTTCTAGAACAGAGTGCTTTCTTCACAGCCTCTATTGCCCTCCTTCCCTGAGAAGATTCTAGCCTGGATTGGCATCTACAGAGGACCCTGAGAATCTGATGCCCTTGGGCCCTGTCATGAGAGTGGGGTTTTTTTGTTTGTTTGTTTTGTGGTGCTGGGGATAGAACTCAGAGCACTTGCTCTATCACTGAACTGCACCCCCAGCCCAAGAATGATGTTTATAGAATAAACATATTATCCTGCCCCCTCTGACATTGGTTCAATTGCATTCATTCTACTGGCCACTGAACAAAATCCAAATTTTTCTTTATTTTTTTATGGTACTAAGGATTGAACCCATGGATGCTCTACAACATAACTGCCCCCCCCCCCCCCCGCCTTTTTTAAAGAGAAGAACTTTTTTTTTTTTTTTTAACTTGTAGATGGACACAATACCTTTATTTTTTTATGTGGTGCTAAGGATCGAACCCAGTGCCTCACACAGGCCAGGCAAATGTTCTACCACTAAGCTACAATCCCAGACCCATAACTGCCCTTTTTATTTTGAGATAGGTTCTAAGTTGCTGAGGCTGGCCTGAAACTTGTGATCCTTCTGCCTCAGCCTCCCAAGTTACTGGGATTATAGGCACGTGCCACAGTGCTTGGCAGTTCAGATCTTTAAACTGGCTAACAAGGGCTTACTTCTCCTTCCCCATTTCTTATCTTTGGCCTTCCCTCAGCTTGGAGTATTCCTACTTGTATCTCTGTCACTTCCCTCTTCCCTACAACTACCACCTTGGTCCAACTAATTCCTTTTCTGGTAATAGGCAGACTAGTCAAATTTAGGGATGAAATAAAGACTTCCCTAAGGTATTTCTATTTTACCTAAAGTATTAAATCATGGAGGAAAGAATGGCACCAACAGTAAAAAAGAGCATGTTCCAAAAGAATTACCATGAATTCAGCATGACTAAAGCATGGTGAGCATGGGACCAAGTAGCCTGAGTGGAGGCAGGCCACAGCTGGACAGAAGGGTATTTGTGCCATGTCAAGATTTGTGGACTTGATTTGTGGACTGATACCCTGATACAGTTAAGCAAAGAATTGGCATGATTGAATTGTCTCTCTCTTTTCAGTACTGGGGATTGAGCTCAGGAGCATTTGACCTCTGAGCCACATCCCAGCCCTATTTTGTATTTTACTTAGAGACATAAAATACACTTAGCACCTCGCTGTTGCTGAGATTGGCTTTGAACTCTCCTGAGCCACTGGAATTACCAGCTTGTGCCACAGTACCAGCTTGCGTTTGCTCTTTAAAAGGAGAACTGTTTCAGTGATTTGAATGATAAACTGCAGGGTGAAAGTGCAGAACAGAGATCAGAAATTACTTAAATAAAACCACAATCATGTTAAGAATATTAAAGTGAGATATAGCTCTGTTGGTAGAGTGCTTGCCTCACATGCAGAGTACTTGCCTAACATCGTCAGCAACACACACACACACACACACACACAAAAAGAGGGAGAGAAAGAAAGACTATTAAAGCATAGAGCTTTATATTTATATCATAGGAATATGATTGAGTTTAGAAACAATCAGAAGTTTTCCACCCCACCCTACATCCTGGGACACTTAACTGAGCCACACTTGCAGCCCTTTTTTATTTTTTATTTTGAGACAGGATCTTGTTAAGTTGCTGAGGCTGGCATTGAACCTGCAATACTCCTGCTTAAGCCTCCCGAGCTGCTGAGATTATAGGTATGAGCCACTGCAACTGGCCAGATGTTCTTTTTAATCTTATTCAGGCACATTTCAAACTCTATCAGAAGAGAATAAAGAATTGTAATGGCTATTTCAAAACCCTTCTTTTAGATTTTTCTACTTTGGTAAACACACTGCAAATATTTTCAGTTCACATACATCTAAATGCATACTAAGTACAATTTATAAATAACCAGGAATAGTACATAATATATTCTTTTTTTGTCTGCTCATAACTATCTAAAATGTTTCAAGATTCTTAACAAAATTTTTTCATTTTAGATGACTAAAAAACAATTTGGCAACATGAGAGTTCTTTAACTCTTCCCAATAAATGGAAGTACTCAGAAGTACATAAATCCTGTTCTCTTTCTTTCTTTGTTTCAGTGCTGGGGATAGAACCCAGGGCCCAGTGCCTGTGTAGGGTAGTTCTCTACCACTAAGTTACACTCCCAGTGCTAGGCCCTGGGTTTTTTGTTTTTTTTTAAAAAGAGAGAGAGAGAGAGAGAGAGAGAGAGAATTTTTTTTTTTTAAAGAGAGAGTGATAGAGAGGGAGAGAGAGATAATTTTTTAATGTTTATTTTTATTTTTTTAGTTTTCAGTGGACACAACATCTTTGTTTTTTTTTTGTATGTGGTGCTAAGGATCGAACCCGGGCCGCATGCATGCCAGGCGAGTGCGCTACCGCTTGAGCCACATCCCCAGCCCCGAGAGAGAATATTTTAATATTTATTTTTTAGTTTTCGGCGGACACAACATCTTTATTTGTATGTGGTGCTGAGGATCGAACCCAGTGCCGCGCACATGCCAGGCAAGCGCACTACCGCTTGAGCCACATCCCCAGCCCATAGGCCCTGGGTTTTAACTACAATTTTATTTTGTGTGTGTGTGTTTGTGTGTGTGTGTGTGTGTGTGTGTGTGTTTTACTGGGGATTCCTCTATCACTGAGCTACATTCTCATCGCATTTTTTATTTTGAGACAGGTTCTCACTCAGTTGCTGAGGCTGGCCTCAACTCGTGATCCTCCTGTCTCAGCCTCATGAGCCATAGGGGTTACAGACATGTGTCACCATGCTCAGCTCTAACTACAGTATTCATCTATCTCTTGTCTCTTTATATCACTTACAGGAAAGGGCAGGGATTTACCAAACAGTACCTAAATAAAAGTTTGTTTGTTTGTTTGTATGATACTGGGATTGAATCCAGAGCCATTTACCACTACATTACCCTTACCATTACTCACTACATTGCTAGGGCTGGCTTCAAACTGGCAATCCTCCTGCCTTCACCTCCTGAGTAACTGCGATTATAGGTGTGAGATATTAAATAATATACTATTTTTATCTTGCCATGCTGGAGATTGAATCCAGGTCCTTGTGTATGCTATACAACTATTTTACCACTGAGCTCTATCCCCAGTAACTAAATAAAAAAATCTTTGAAGTTCTAGTGACTTACTTCAGAGTTTCTCGTTGAAATAAAACATAATTCCCATCATAAAAGTAGGTTTACATTTCAGTTGTTTCATATTGGCATAAATTCTAGTTAGATTAATAATCTTAGTATAATTAAGTAAACTACCAAAAGGCAACAAGGGAAGTTGTGTATAACCCTGTAATAGGAAAGGCCTTTCTAACAAAGACATAAAACCCAAAGCCAAGAAAAAAAAAAATGAGTTTTGTGTCATTGTTAAGTTTATTCCTAGATACTATTTTCTGTAATGGTTTTAAAATGGAATTTCCCCACATTATACTTTCTATTAATTTCTTCCACTTTACTGAATTATCTTATGGTATATGGCACTGTTTTGGTTAATTATCAGAATAACAAGGAAAGATTAAAAAAAGAATCAGACATTTCAACAATGAGTCCAGAATTTGATGACAATGAGCAATGTCTTAGAATTCTGAGGTTGAGGCAAGAGGATTGAAAGTTTGAGACCAGCCTAAGCAATTTAGAAACATCCTATCTCAAAATTTAAGAAGTGCTAGAGATGTAGCTCAGTGCTAGAGTGTTTGCCTAGCATGTATGAGGTTCTTGATTCAATTCCCAGTGGCACAGTAAAATAAAAATAATAAAATATAAAAGTAAAATAAAATGGGCTAGCAAAGTGTGGTGACACATGCCTGTAATCCCAGTGACTCAGGAGGCTGAGGCAGGAGGATTATAAACTCAAGGCCAGGCTCAGCAATTTAGAGAGGCCATAAGCAGCTTAGCAATACCCTGTCTCAAAATAAAAAAAAATAAAAGGGCTGGGGATGTGGCTCAGTGGTTAAGCACACCTGGTTCTTCAATCCCTAGTATCAGAAAAAAAAAAGGGGGGGGGGGGGGGGGGGGTTGGCTAGGGATGAAACTCAGTGGTAGAGTGCTTTTCTAGAATCTAGTATATGTGAGGCCCTGCCTGGCTCAATCCCAGTACCACAAATAATAACAATATCCAAATAAACACAAGGAATTCAAATAGTAATAGAAGACATTTCAAACATGCAAGGTATCACGTGTACCTTTTCTCGAAATGCTGCTGGGAGATGTGCATCATCAAAGCACAATACCCAGAAAAAAAAAGTGAAAGTGAAAAAGAAAAATGCAGTACACAGTAGTGCACACCTATAATCTCATCTACTCGGGAAGCTGAGGCAGGAGGATCATAAATTCAAAGCCAGCATGGGCAACTTATCAAGACCCTGTCTCAAAATAAAATAAAAAAGGACTCACTCATTCTTAAGATTATAGCAATGAGAGGCTGGGGTTGTAGCTCAGTGGTAGAGCACTCGTCTAGCACATGCAAGGCCCTGGGTTTGATCCTCGGATCACATAAAAATAAATAAATAGAATGAAGGCATTGTGTCCAACTACATCTAAAAAATAAATATTAAAAAAAAAAAAGATTACAGCAGTGAGCCAGGCGTGGTGGTGCACACCTATAATCCCAGTGGCTCTGAAGGCAGTGAGACACTGTCTCTAAATAAAATACAAAATAGGGCTGGGAATGTGGCTCAGTGGTTGAGTGCCCCCTGAGTTTAATCCCTAGTAAATTCCCCCCCCCCCCCCCCAAAAAAAAAGATTACAGCAATAGCTTGAAGGGGGGATTGTTGATGCCTGGGACCAACATTTTGGAAGTATATTATGAACACGTTTTTGTTAAAAATCTT